AAAAAAAAAAAAAAGAAGAAGAAGCTCTAGTGATGCAGTGGTTAAAACATTCCACTGCTAACCAAAAATTGTCAGAACCTACTAACCTCTCAGAGGGACAAAGATGAGGCTGTCTGCTTCCGTAAAGATTTACAACCTTGGAAACCCTATAGGGCAGTTCCATCCTGTGCTATAGAGTCGCTGTAAGTGAGAATCTACTAGATGGCAGTGCGTTTGCGTTTTGGGTTATTATTATTAAGGAGACCTATTTGCACAGTAGTTAAGCGCTGGGCGAGTAACCTAAAGGTTGGCAGTAGGAACACACCAGTCCCGCGAGGTGGAGGGCGGAGGGAGAACTAGAGATTCGCTAATGTAAAAATTACAGCCTTGGAAACCCAATGGGGCAATTCTGCCCTGCCTATAGGTCGAAATGAATCGGAATGGAGTCAATGACAAAGGGTTTTATGGATTTATTATTGTCATATTCTTGGGAGCCCTCCCTAGATACTCCCCACTCTCAATCTCCCTTCCCTGCTTGATCTAACTACCTAACGGGAATCACCAGCCAGCACACAATGTTTTTGCTTTGTTTTTATTATTTCATTCACTGCGGTGGGTACTGTTGCCAAGGTGTTGTTATTTGCCATCGAGTCGGACCCGACTCATAGCGACCCCCAAGTAGTGTGTGCAAAATAAATTCTTGTTGAATGAGTTAATGCATTAAAATGCTGTTTATAATTCACATCTGCTCACTCTCATGTCATCTGCTCTTGGCGCAAATTGTTTTGTATTTTATTAATTTTTAGGAAGACTCAGTGGTCAGCATGGAATTTCAATGTTGTTATTTTTAATACTTTAGGTGTATATGGAGCATTTGCTGAATGCTCCGCCTAGCACTGGGCTGGAGAAGGGAAGGGAGAACAACTTAACACCCAGGGTTTATATTCTTGATAGGGAACCTATTTGGGACACGCTAGGGGTAAAGTGAGAATGATGAGTGTCAGAGTGCCAAATTGCATTCGCTATGGCAAAACCTAGTCTTGATGGCCAGGTGCTGAGATGGAGAATAGCAATTAGCTTGGGGAGAGGGCAGCCAGGAGTCTGGCAGGGAGAGGAAGGAGCTCAGCTGGTGAGCCCGGCCTCAGAAGGACACACATTGGGCAGAGGCCTGAAGGTGAAGAAGGTGGGGGTGACAGTGCATCCAGGAGAGAGGTGTTGAGGAAGAGCCAGTCTTTGGGCTTTGGCAGTTCAGAAGTTGAGGTTTTGGACAAGGAAGATCTGGGGAGGAGGTGAGCAGGTGATGCACCAGAGTGAAATTGTCAAGATCAAGAATGATGTTCAAAACAACCTAGGGCAGCAGTTTGTAGCAAGATAATTGGAAATACCTTAAATGCCCATCAATTTGGGGATGTTGTTTTTTGCTGTCCAGTCAGACCCAACTCGTAGCAACACCTCCTTGGGTTTCTGAAGCACTATCACTACGGACGTAGATTGCCCAACCTTCCTTCCGAGGAGTGGCTGGTGTGTTTGAACTGCCAGCCTTCTGGTTAGCAGTCAAGTGCCTTAGGCACTGACTGTCAGTGGTACCCTCTAAAAAGGGTGGTTCTTATGTGCTGAGAGGCAATATACAAACTTCTCATAATAAGAAAGTGTGTTAGACTGGGTTCTCTAGAGAGACAAAACCAGTAAAGCTTATATATATAGAGAAAGAGAAATTTATCTTAGGAACATGGCTCACATGCTTATAGAAACTGGCAAGTCCAAAGTTCTTGGATCAAATGTCAAGCTGGAGGCTTTTCCCGACTCATGCAGCTGCAGGGGCTGAGGAGCTCAAGGTTGGCAGACAGTAGTCTGGCTGCTGACTCCAAC